GACTCTAACCACTCATTCTCATCAACATCAATATTTCTGTATGCAATTTCTTTTTCAATGATGGGAAAGCACTCTCAATGGTGAGGAATTTTTCCCCCCACTCATCCACCCTTTCACTCCATAAGAAAAATTTTATATAGAGAGTGTTAGTCTCAAACTTCACCATTGAGATCTAAAAAATACTCATGTAAAATTTCCTTGGTATTAGGATTGGTCTAAATTAACCTCCAGTTCCAAAAAGGATGAAAACTAATATTGTAAAATTTAAAATTTTGTTTATTTGAAAACACGGAGGATTTGAAAAAGGATGTGATGGGATACTGTTACGAACTTTTTACTGCTATATGAGGGCAGAACCTCTAGGCCAGAATTAAATGAAATGATGGGATAGACACCAGACGAGATACAAGAAGAGATACTTTTTTTGGGTGCAGCTTTGGGAAATCTTCCCTAGAGTACTTGGGCCACATCATCACAGAAAAGGGCGTGTCCGTTGACCTGAGAAAATCCAAGCAATAATGGATTCGCTGATGCCCAAAACGGTCACTAGCGTGCGTGGGTTTTTGGGGCTGACGGGATACTACCGAAGATTTGTGAAAGGTTATGCTTCAATAGCGACACCACTCACCAATTTCTTAAAAAGAGGGGGATTCAGTTCGGACGAGGGGGCAGAACGCGCATTCTGTGAACTCCAGGCAGCGATGACCACCACACCAGTGCTTCAATTACCTAATTTCAACCGGACTTTCACGGTCCAGACAGATGCATCGGGTACTTCCAGAGGAGATGTGCTTTCCCAAGAATGACACCCCATCTCTTATTTTAGTAAGGTGCTGTTGGAGTTGGTGCCCTTATGGCCAACTGCTGTTGTAATATCTTAGATATTTTCTATCATGTAAAGGTAGATGCATTAAGTTTACAAACATCTCATGCTAATGTAAACTCTTAATTGCATTCCTAGAATTATATTATAAGATGTTTATCAGAATGAGTCTTCTGATGTTGAGACTGACATCTTGTCACTTAGTATAATTCTAAACGGTCTATAGTCGAAGCATTAACGAGAGTGGGATATCGTTAGTGCGCGTGAGACTAGTGAGAGTTAGATGTTTGACCTAGTCTCTTGGTCAATGACGGAG